ATTCCAGGTCAAAACTATAGTTTGTATTCAAAACACTGGCATGGACAACTCCATGGTCATATCAATATCAAACCAGGGTGTACTTTGTACCTTTGGAAACACAACCTTGCCACTTCTTTTGCGGCTAGGCATGTACATTGATCATATTTGCATCACCTTCCATTTATATCGTCAATTATTTTGGTCTCGGAAACAAACCAATGGTAGTCAAATGCACCATTTGGAATGATCTCAAGACATAGCAGAGGGGACCCTTACACAAATGGTATATAAAAATATGATTTCACTTCACATTACTTTTTTTTTGGTTTATTGTTGGAACATAATCATTCTTCAAAGCCTTCCATGCTTTAGAGTTTTATTCTCTGTCTTGCATCCTCTCTCTTATTGATTTTGATGTTAAAATATTCATGTACATGTTTTCAATTTATTTGTTAATGCATGTTTTTTTTTTATTATTATGAAAGTTACTAATGTATGATGCATTAACAAATAAACTACAAACATGTACATGAATGTATTGCATGTGGTCCAATTTTCTAGTGGATAGAGTATTAGGTTTTTACTCATGCGTCCCAGGTTAGAAACTTCTCCTCCCTTAAATTATTGTAATAGTTTTGAACTTCCACCCTCCCCTTAATAATAATACATTTTTTTTCCGTAAAAAAAAATGTACATGAATATATTCATATCATTTCCATTTTTTAATTCTTTGAGTTTTTTTTAATTATATATGTGAGTATATATTCACTTAGTATTAGTCTACTGGTTAGAGTTAGTATATTATAAATAGCATGATTGTTATTCAATTGAGAACAAGTTAGTCACGATGTAACCTCTTGGAGTTTTGTAACCATTTCGGCATTCTTGTTTGTTAAATAAAATTCTTATTATTTTGTAGTCTTGTTTGTCGTGCACTCTGATATTCAACTTGGCATCGAAGCAAGTTTAATCCTTTGTGGTTTAATCTACTTTTGTTTTGTTTGTATCAGTTTGTCTATCTTCGTTGTTTGTTTTGTCCAATTTCGTTTCGTAAAACTTTCTTCGTTTTCTGGTTTGGGTTACCCTATGTTTGTTGTTCATAAAAAATTTAAAAATAAATATGCTAGTCTGAAGTCGGAGCCGTGCCCAGCCGCTAGAGCCACTACACCTCTGTCTCGCACCGCCATCACGCTAGAGCCTTGATATCGTCGTTTGCCTGATTTGGACTCGCTAGCCCAACCCGCAGCCTAGAGAACTCAAATCTGACGAACACAAATTCTGTTTGCTACTTACTGCCCGATCGAACTTGCGTGACTCCTCTGCTTGAACTGTTATTGTCTTCAAGTTAGAGACTGCAACCCAGTGGTGCATGCCGTTGTATCTGATGAGAGAGTTGTGAATGATTTAACGGAGGAAGTTCTGAAGTTGGTGATCTGCGATTAAAGAAGATTGGTACATTGACAAGTGATGTGTTTTAAGCGTATTCAGAATGATGGGGCCATTTTTTTTTTTTTGTCAAACGATAGATTTATTAGATTAGATGTTAGATTAGGGAGTCAGTGGGGTTCGAATCCGCACCGTGGTGCAAGAACAACACTCGTCTCCACCATTGTGGTAAAGGCCATTTACCTTGATGAGAATGTGTTTGAATTGTTGGGAAAAAAAAAAAGATAAAATTAGTGGTGCTTGTTAGGCCATTTGAGGCCCACACGGTTAAGTTTTGTAGGAGTTTGCTTGCCAAGCACTCGACCACTTGAGTGATAGTTTTTGTTACTCTTGGTTTGTTGTTGTAATTGGAATATGGAAATCTCGTTAGTTTAGTGACAAGGAACACTCGTATGCTTTCTCTCCATACTCTCAACGCCAGTATGAATTAATTCGCCAATCAAGTCAAGTCCAGTTCGCAGTCCGCCTAACGGAGCCAATCAACATCTGCTTGTTTGCAAACTCGTGTCATATACCGCCATGAGTTTGACGCCGGGGAGGGGGGGGAGGGCGTGTTGGGAAATATTAGTATTTAAGTTTACTTTAATGTTTAGTTTTCTGGGCTTAGCTCATTAGCGTTAGGGTTTCGGTTTCTTACCTTTTAGGGTTAGGGTTATTTATTATAAATAGCATACTTGTTATTCAATTGAGAACAAGTTAGTCATAATGTAGTCTCTTGGAGTTTTGTAGCCGTTTCGGCATTCTTGTTTGCTTAATAAAAATCTTATTATTTTGTAATCTTGTTTGTTGCACTCTGATAGTCAACTATAAGTGAGAGATCTTAGGTTCAACGCATGTGGAAGACAAATTCGATACCAATTTATAGTTAGTTTATTGTGTAGCTTAGTCTTAATCATTCACCACTTAGTACAAATATGTCATTACATTAATATACATACATATAGACATGCCCACGTCAAACTTCAACGATTCGAATCATCTATTTTTTAAGTTGCACCTCTTAGATCATCCTTGCAAAATATTAGCCAAAATCATAAATATTTAAGACATCTAATTAAGTTCAAAGAAATTGACGAATACTTTTGTTCTATAAGAAACAATGAAATTTCATTGTGATAATTAAATAGATAAATGGTTCGGATTGAATTGAATTTTTGTTAGTATGATCCATGAATAGAGACTTATAAAATAGACGATTTGGATCGTTAAAGTTTGATTTAAAGTAGGTCCCACAACTAATCCCCATTTTTTTCTTTCAAAAAAATGGAGATTCCTTCCCTTAAAGTGCTTGTACATGCGCACACACACGCACATATGGTTACAGTTTTTTTTTTCTTAAGAAGAAGATGATATATTTACAGTTTGACCAAACAAAATATACAGCTTCAATTCCCTTAATAAGCTAAAATGTTTTTTAAATAAAAAAAAAAGGAGCAATTATTAAATAAAGAAAGTTGTTATTGACACTCTAAGATATCATCATGCACTCTTCTATGTATAATTTTTCTCTTATGTTTTCTTAAAGCAAAAGTGCATGCTTACATTTTAGAGTGCTAAGAATACTTCCACCGATTGGTGAACTGTCAAGGCAAAAGGCCTATTCAAGCTCCAGCAGGTCAGGCAAGTTCAAAGAGCTGCCTGGAGGTATGTGACGCAAGGCTGGCATTATGCTACCATGATAGTTCTTGTATGGATAAAAAATTACTGGAGCAATTACTATTCAACGTGAATAATTACTACCTTTGTTTTTTCTTGCCCTTTGCCATGGGTACCTGTACAAATAACAACTACCTTCGAGAAATAACGAACGACGATTTAAAGAAAACCAAATAAACCCACAAAAAGAAATGAATATTTAGCCCAAACATCTTAAACTAAATGATGTAGTTGTTGATAATTGAATTATTACTTAAATATGCATTATCGTGCTTATTACATCATCATTTAGCTTGCAAATTTAATTTAAATTTTTAATTAGTCTAGCATTATCCTTTGACAAAACAAGAGCCCAAAATTGCTGCTCACCTAAATCATTCCTGACGTTTACATCATAAGATTTTGGCATTTATGACATCTCAGATTTTGTTACTAATGCAAAATCTTGAATTTGTTGCTTGTGTTTGACATTTGCCCTACAATCACTGAGAAAACGTGTAAAGTTTGATAATTACATAGATCCTATTTGTCAATACTTTTGGGGGCTTGTGTAGAGAAAGGTTTTCAGGTAGTGCGCAGCTTCAAATGGATTCAAAAAACTTTGGTGGATATGATAAATGGGATTATACAAGCCAACGTTGTCATTGAAGGTAATCTCTTGGATATTTAACGTATAAAATAACAACCGAGGTTGGTCGAGTTCATTTTTGCTCTCCAAGTTTGTAATAGGGCAGCACATCGAATGGAGAGTCTTCATACCTGAGATAGCTTTGAACCGGAGTGGTTGTTCAATACTCTTGCTTCTGATGTAAATGTTTTTCTCCGAATTTAATAATATTTCACTTTCAATGAAAAAAAAATGTGAATTAAAGTGTTAATGTGTTTTAAACACAAAAATGTTAGTGGGAAACAACCCAAAATCCAAATTGTGTCCAATGATTCGTGTTCAGAGAAAATTTATTATCACTGATTGTATAGATTCATGCATCTATCATCACTTTTGTCACTTTGCTTGAAACTTATAGTTACTATTTTCAACTTTGTAACCTTTCCTTTGTGTACAATCCACCGTGAGAGAGAGAAATCAAATTTAGAACCTCCGCGCAAAGTTAAATGCTCCTTAACTAACTAAGCTGCAAGCCCTTTGCAGTAGTTAGACTTTCTTTTTTTGTTCATGAGTCATGCATGATTGAGACTTTTAATATTCAAACTGAGATTTACAAGCATAAATCTTGTCCAGCTCTTCTAAGAAAGACAACATCAAACAAAGCAAGGACAGAACTTAAGCATAAAAAAGTTGGAAATTTCTCAAAATCTTGATCTAAAATCCTAATCCCCAGTTGGGTTCTCTGCATTTTATCCCACATTCATAGAAAGCTGAGTCACAGATTTAAAGGTTCAGTTCTAAAAGAGAGTCATGAACATGCCTGAGGCTCATATATTCTTCTAGTTTGAGGAATATGCGCTGGAATGTAATGTTTTCCCTACACAAGATAGAATTTATGTAGATACTCAAAAGTGTTTTAGATTTTACATTAATTCTCGTTGCTTGTAAAAAAATGAGATCATCTGTATTTTGCACTAAAAGTCGGCAGTTTTATTTAATTAGAAACAATTATAAAGTGAAAAATAAAGATAATATTTTTTTACAGACCAATAGACCAACCTCATTTTATAATATTTTTCCTCCTTAAATGGAAGCTTCATGCCACAGATTTTTGAGTCCTCAAAATCTACCATTTGTTCAACTTTAATCCAATTTAAAATCCAGGAAAGTTGTCTTCTTTCTTGTTTATTTAGAGTATTACTAGTTATAGTTTTCTTCAGTATGATACATTTTGTTCTAGCATTCTCATAGGCAGCTCTTTATTCTCTCTCTCTCTCTCTCTCTCTCTCTCTCTCTCGTTCGTTTTGCAATGGAGCCCCTCAGAAATTTTTATGGCACAGAAGGATGCAGCAGCAGTGAATCAGGATGGACAACATACATTGCCTCTCCCATGCAAGAAGATGAGCCCGAATGCAGCAATATTGAAGACGTCGGTTACGAAAACCATCATCACATCGCATATCTCACCAGAAAAAAAGTTGGCAAAGATGACAATGAGAGTGATGATTCAATGGCTTCTGATGCTTCTTCTGGCCCAAGTCATCATCATGATCTCGTGCCTTCGCGCAGTAAAGACAGTAAAGGCACCGCTCGTTCCAAACGCGATAACAACAAGCAATCTAGGCACAAGAGCACAAGCAAACCAGAGAAGAAAACTGGCGAAAAGAGTACCAAAAGGAAGTAATGAGAAATCAGCGCTAATGAACTTTGATCGTGTCGTCAAGTCCTGGCTCAAGGGGTACTGCAGATTATAGTTGTTAATTAAAACTATAAGCTTGCAAATGAAGAAGAAGATGTATATTTTTTCTTTATATGTAGAATACACAAATGGAAGGATATATATTTCTCTTTTCTTCCACGAAAATTCTTCGTTCCACCGTTCTTATTTAGATTTTTAATTTGTATCTCATTAGACTTTTTTTCTGCATTTCTTTTAGGACATTCATCAGCTCGGACAAACATCCGTTGAAAGTGTAAAGGTTAAATTGTGTCACAACATATTCTTTCAATCTCGGAGTAATTAAGTTTCTGGCGGAAAAAGGCGGTATTTTGTAATGCAAGCATGAAATTATGGTGTGTTTGTCTCTCAAGTTTTCTCGACAATTATGCATTTTGTGTATGGAGTGTTTGTGCCGCTGTCTCATGTGGCTATGAAGCAAACAGTGTGAGCAATTTGCTGGAAAGAAGAAAGATCAGAAAGCATACATGTGGCTATCTGCAAAAAAAAGAAAATATTGATTCACTAGTTTTAAAAGCTTAGAAATTATTATGCAGAATGTGTGTTGTTAACAATTCGTGCTGGAAAGAAAAAGATCAACATAGAAAGACAAATGCCAACTATGAATGCTGAGGTTTTCTTTTTGTGACAGAAAAAAAAATGGTAGAGTTTTACAAAAAAAATTTAAAAAATAAAAATTGGTCGAGTAGTTTCTGCAACAGGTGTGCAAATGCAACAGCAAAGCAAGTACCAAATATGGGCTGTACTTCCAACTCCAAAGAATATTCTGCCACTTATAAAAACAAAATCTGTAATTTGTCATCAAATTTGCACGTTTTATCAATAATATATGCATTAATTCCCAAATATCGCGAGATGTGAGTAACTGTCAACTGGTTATATTGTATAGATCGACCGGCTACTCACATTCTGCAATCATCCATCAATATTTGTCCCGCATTGGAGAAATCTGCATGTTATCAGCAGTAGTTAGAACACATGCAAACATTTGTTTAGGAAAGTGAGAATTGAATTTAATAGAGAAACCATAGAACATGTCTTTTTGCCTTGCCTTTTGTCCTATTATTCTTTAAGTCAACATGAAGATCAGATAAGAAAATCACCTCTCACCAAGAGATTCTTGTTTTACTTTAGTATTTGGGGAGTCCTATACAAACAATATAAAATATAAATGTCTTCTAAGTGGATCATTCACTCGTTAAATTTCTTTAAATTCTTCGGTTCACATTCAGTCGATCCTTAAGTTACAAAATGTAGATTATACAACGATTTACTTTATTATTTTCAATACTTAACTTCTTCAGCTTACATTCAATCGATCATTAAATTATATAATGTAAACTATATATCGATATATTTTAGAATTTTCGATAATGAAATTCTTTAACTCACATTCAATCGGCCGTTAAGTTTTACAATGTCATTCATACATCGATGTACTTTAAAAGTTTTGGTACTTGAGAATATGGTTTGGTACAACTAAAGTGAATATGAATACAAGTTTTGACAGGTGGAATACAATTTTTTTAGCTGAGAGTCAACAGAGGTAGAGCATGGGAGGAAAAATAGTTCATGATTGACAACCAATTTAGGCTTTTCCTGGACCCAATTTCACAGCTGTGATGCCTCACCAGATTTGGTTTATTTAAAGGGAATTTAGCACATGGAAACCACATTATTCAGATTTATGGGACACATTTGACACCCCAAAAGCAAAGTAAATATTTGAGGAATATTTGGCACATACAAAGACAAAAAAGTCAATAATTGCAAGAAAAATGCACAAAAATATCTAATTAGAGCTGCTGAAATTGAGATAAATATAAAAATTTTGAGTTCCCCTGAATTGAATAGAATTACATCTTTCAAAGTTAGAAAGGGGTTGTGGGCGTGGACAGATCTGCCAAAAGCACGAGCATAACAAAGCACCCTTCAAAGTCTTAAAAAATAAACTGATAAAACTTATTTGGGATAAATTTTTTCACTGAAAAAGAGTTGGCAGAAGCTCCGCCCAGCGTAAAATCGTCAGCAGAAATTATTCAGATGGAGTGTTCTCTGCTTGAGTTGAATGTGCCACAGAAATTGGACTTAAATCTTTGACTGTTTCGCGATTTTGAACCATTCAGTATGGAAAGCACCTTCCATGTCAGTTCTTTCGTATGTGTGAGCACCGAAGTAGTCACGCTGAGCTTGGACCAAGTTAGCGGGCAGGCTTTCCCTTCTGTAGGAGTCGAAATAAGCAAGACTAGCTGACATACCAGGGGTGCTGATGCCTGAGTTGATAGCAAGGCATACCACCCTTCTCCAGGCAGACTGCCTCTCAACGATCTCTTTCGAGAACTCTGGGTCCACAAGAAGGTTTGCAAGATCAGCATTCCTGTCATATGCCTTCTTAATTCTGTCTAGGAACACCGCACGAATGATGCAACCTCCCTTCCAGATCCTGGCCAATTCGCCCAACTTCAAGTCCCATCCCTGCTCAATACTCTTTGCACGGATCAAATTCATCCCTTGTGCATAACTGCATATCTTTGATGCATAAAGTGCTTGCCTCACATCATCGATCAGCTTTGCCTTATCCACCTCTGGGGTGTTCAAGCTATCCTCAAAGCCGGCTGATTTGAACACTTTAGCTGCTTTAACCCTCTCGTCCTTTAACCCACTGAGGAACCTTGCATCCAATGAAGATTCAATTGTTGGAGCAGCAACTGATAGTTCAGCAGCTTGCTGTACGGTCCATTTACCAGTACCCTTCATGCCAGTCTTGTCCAAAACCTTGTCGACCAAATATCCATCTCCCTTGTCATCCTTGATTCCAAATATATCAGCAGTGATTTCAATCAGGAAACTGAGAAGTTCACCTTTGTTCCACTCTGAGAAAACTTTTTGGAGTTCCTCATTTGACAACTTTCCTACTGATTTCAGTACATCATAAGCCTCCGCTATCAGCTGCATATCGCCGTATTCAATCCCATTATGAATCATCTTGACAAAGTTACCAGACCCACCTTTGCCAATGTAAGTCACACAAGGACCACTGTCCGGAACTTGAGCTGACACCTTAAGAAGAATGTCTTCAATGTACTTATAGGCCTCAAAGGAACCTCCAGGCATCATAGAAGGCCCGTATCGAGCGCCCTCCTCACCACCTGAAACTCCCATTCCAAGGTAAAGAAGACCTAGTTCAGCCATGGCTTTCTCCCTCCTCTCAGTATTCTCATACCACTCATTACCACCATCAATGATGCAGTCACCTTTCTCCAGGTAGACGGAGAGGGTCTTTATGGTCTGGTCAACGGGCGCCCCAGCCTTGACAAGCATGATCACGACACGGGGTTTCTGGATTGACTTAACAAAAGATTCGGGATCATGGAATCCATAAAGGGGAAGGTTTCCTTCCTTTTTAGCTCGCTCAACGGTCTCATCAACTTTGGAGGTAGTTCTATTGTATACCGAAATGGGGAAGCCTTTCTCTGCAATGTTGAGAGCCAAATTTTGGCCCATGACAGCCAAACCGGCAAGGCCTATTCTTGTAGGTTTTGGTGTTGCAGCCATCTTTTTGCCTGTTTGACATTTGGATTTGTTAGCGAGAGCGTCAATTTTATATCCATATAATGGCAAAATACGAAGTACAGATCTGAGAGACCTTAGTCACGAAAAACAAAATGTCAGGATGCTTTGATGAAATCCAACAAACTTCAATTGCTCAAATTACAAAACAATAGATCATAAATTAATTTCACAGCTAATCACATATTCCAATGCCTACATCCTAATTGCAGCATTGTATATCATTGATAAGATTAAAAATTATGTATATGACTCTCAGATGTATTAAACAAAAATAACAAATCTAATGAACAATGATACTCCCATAAGAACTTACTAAGCCGGTAAGCCCTGCATAATAAATTCATATTGTAGAACATAGACGAGATTAAACATTAAGTATCTGATCCTCAGATGAATAACACTAAACTAACAAATCTAACGAACAAAGGTGTTGGCCCAGTTTGAATCACTATGCCCTCACTTTTACAGTCCAATTGTTCCGATCGACTCAATGGACAAGCAAACAAACAAACAAAAGAAACTAAACCTCCATTGCCTCACTAAGCCCTCACTTTTACGGTCCAATTGTTCTCTGAAGCTAACCAAATTAAACCAGACCCACTTACTCTTTACTTATCTAAAACAAAATTCAATCATATTAATATAAAAATCATAAACTCCACAACACATCAACCAAATGACTGGATGAACTAAAAGCATGATCTAATCAATCTGAAAAATTCCAAGAATCCACAGATCAGTGCAAAACGAAAATCATCGTCAAGATTATGAGCAACCGAATAACACTAACAAAGGAAACACAGATCAAAAATCCCAAATCATGGCAACCAATCAAGTTTTAGAAAAAAGCTACGATTTTTAACCGCGGTCAGTCAAATAATTTAATGGCTGTAATTGCATTCAGTAAAGTACAGCAGTGAAAGGGAACGTTTTGATCAAAACCCAGAAAGCAAAAGGATCCGAACCTGAAACTGAAAGTGTTCTTCTGTAAGGAGAGAAGGGGGATTGAAAATCTGAGGAAATCGAGCGAACCCAAGAAATCAAAGATCTGGGGTAGGCGGAAAGTGATGAGCTTTTATATTAAGAAAAGATTTTCGATGGTAGTTAGGGAATATTGTAGCGGGTCAAGATTGGCCACTGGCTCGGTTGGTGAGGTGGACACGCCGTCGTTGAAGGTGGGTTAGGTGTGGAGATATGGCAACTCCATCCAGCGTAACACCAGTTGACAGGCGCCAATTCAATTTACTCTGACCTGTATTATTATAACTTCGTTCAACATTTGTCACCTATACTATACATCATATTCAACTATTGTTAAGCGGTACACGAAAGACGAGAGTCGAACTTAAAATTTCGAATGCACAGTCAAATAA